TTGTTGACTGTGGCACATTATTGAAAGAATTAGTAACAGCCATTGAGTGCGAATTAGATAAAGAATCTCAATATACCCGAATGAATGACTATTACGGATCAAATCCATCAGTTGGGCTTCCATCAATTTATAAAACTATTTTCAAAGAACTTGATTCTGTATTACAGGTGAATCTATTGCCTATTCCATTATCAATTCAAAGAGCTTAAATGAACCAATCATTGCTCTATCAAGCTAATTTGATTTCAATTGAGCAAGTTGAAGATAATGAAGCTAATTTTAATGGTATATTAGAGCATTTATATGATACACCTCAAATCTGTTTACGAGACCTTCTTAGTGGTATATCCTATGGTGACATTACTGAGCTTTGGGAAGTATCGTATATTGCATCGAAAACTGCTAAATCACATTATGTTGCTATACTTGAAGATTCAACGATACTTTGCACCTGTATGTTTATTGTTAATCAAGGAATGATATGTCGTCATCAGTTCAGGGTCCTTATTCAGTCAGACAATGCAATATTTCATATTTCATATATTCATACGCGTTGGGTTAATTCAAATTTGGATCCACCTGCTAATTCAACAGGTTTTATTACGATTGTGAATGGAGAAAAAAATCATACGGTGATACCATTGAGTTACATGAATCAATTTAGAACAGACAATGTATATACACTAATTATTAGAGAAAAAGTCAACAAAAAAGTTCAGTTTAGTGCTGTGATGTCTATAGTTAAAACAAGTATTCAAATTGCTGTTACAAAAAATGTTACAGCTGAATTAATTGGAATTTTGACCCAGTTTATCATGAAATATCGTAGAAGCACTGGTTTAAGCTTTGAAAATACCGAGAGTGCTATTTCTTTTTCAGGTACCAAATATCATATAAGCATGGTTTAAGCATCAGGAATACTAAGAATTTTATTTCTTTTTCAGGTACTGAACTATTACAGGAGTCACAAGGGTCTTCTATTCAAGATAATCATCAACCTTTATCTATTCTTCCCGAAGTATCAAACCTTGAGTATCATAGACCGAAAGGATGACCTCAAAAGAGGTATAAATCAGCGGTAGAAAATGATCGTATTACATCGGGCAAATCTAATGAAACAACAGCACAGAAAATGTGTAGCTATTGCTCTGGAAAAGGTCATAATATCTGAGGATGTCCAAGATACAAGGCTGAATCGTCCGCTAACAAAGAAAATGAATACTTAGAATAATTACATAGATTACATAGATTACATAGTTGGGCGAATAATTACATAGTTGGGCAATGTGATTAAATAGTAGTTACACTCAAAATAAATAAAGTATCAATTTCTTTTATTAAATGTATTAATTTTATTACATTTTACATACACTTTATAAGAACAAATAAAAGTAAAAAATCAAAGAGAAGTCACATGATATATATAATCACGTGACACTAGTATTGACCACCAGTGGTAGTAAATAGTAAACTTCTTATTTTTATTAATTATATATTATATAATTTTTATTTTTATTTATTAACTATAAAATAAATTTTATTAATAATATTTTTTAAATAAAAAAAATGTTAAAAAATAATTTTTTATTATTTACAGTAAAATATAGTAGAGAATAATCAAATACTAATTATATCAAATATAATATTATTCTGTTCTATATATTAATTATCTAATAAAATTCTATATTACTGATATCATGTCATGTATATTTCAAAAAAAATTGAACACTAAAAAATCAAATATAATAAAAAATTGAACATAAATCAATAAAATATGATTTTATTATAAGTTTCTGTTATCTAAAATTATGTTTTAGACTAAAACAGTTACTATATTTTAGTAAATATAAGTAAATATAATAAGAATTTTAATAAAACTTATTTAAATAATAAAAAATATATGCAAATTTTTATAAAGATATTATATATAATATATATAATAATTTTTTGAAAATTGAATAGGTATTATAATATTTATAATATTATTAATATTTATAAAAAATATTATTGATAGATCTTTAATTATTTGATTTATTATTATTTATATTAACAAATATATTTAAAGGTATATTATGTTTTGGTTGTATTATCATTAATAATAATATTATAATATTTAATCTAAAGTATAATTATCCAAAAAAGTTGTATAAGACAATTACTAGTATTAAATTTTAAATTTAAAAAAAATATGAATTTTATACTTTTTTTTTAAATAATATTAATAATATTAAATATATTATTATACAAATTACTGCAATTCAAAATTTTTTAATTTTGTATAGTAAGTAATAAATCTAAATTAATATTCTATAATTCAGTTTTAAAAATGTACCTTTTAAAAATTTCATTGTATAATTATTAAAGTTTAATCAATAATTTAACTTAAACTATTATATTCTTTATATTTATTATTAAATTCAAAAATGTTTTATTTTAACTTATGATTATGTTTATTTACAAGTAAGCTAATAATTATATTTTGTATTATGTTTAAAAACTTCAAATTTATTAAGAATATTAACATTTTTTAATTTTAGTATTATATTAATTTTCAGCTTAATATATCAAATTCCTTTCTTTTTTCGATTTAAATTTTTTCATTAAACTCATAAATAAATTTTTTTTTTTAATTATCTGAGTGGATTTTTCTTTTCAATTTGATATTTATTTATTATATTATTCTTAGTCTTTAAAGAATATTTCTACTTTATTTCAAAAAAAAAATTATATAAGGCTGATATTTTTACAGAAAATTTTCATTTGTTTTTTATAAAAAGTTTTAAAAATATCATTAATTTTTTATCAAAAGCTTTAATAGAAAAGTTTTTTAATATTTAATAAAGAAAAAGAAATACCAATCAAAATTATCATTAATTTTTATTACCTGACTGGATCTATAACTCTTTTATATCTATATAGAAAAGTTTAATAACTTATTAGTAGTTAAAATATTTTTCAATACAAGAAAAAAAAAGGTTTATGCAAAAGAGAAAAAAAAGTTTATGTAAAAGAGAAGTTCGTTTATTAATCAATATAATATATATTATGTCAATAATCAATTAAAAAAATCTTTTTAATGATTTCATTAATCATCTCTAATAATTTTTTTTTTATAAAAGTAATACATAATAAATATTACATGATATATATAATGAAATGATTTATAAGATATGATCCTATATTTTTCATATTTTTAAGTAAACCGAAATAAATAAGAGATTTTTAATAATTACTTTTTATATTTAGAATTGTAGATTCTAATTTACCTTATTTAACAATAATATTCTTAGCCTAAGAATCAAATTCAAAATTTTTTTGTGATTAAATGGTCCTAACGTAATTATGGACCTTGTAAAAAAGACGAAAAAATCAATATTATTATGTAATTGCAGAACGATAATAATAAGATAAAAATTTCTGTCTTTTTATGATTAAACGAAAATCAAAATCTTTACCATCTCAGCTGAAAGGCAAATCGGATTAACAGATTAACGAATTATCACATTATTTATGAAAGAAATTATATGAAGTCATGAAATATTTATTTTAGTGCATAAAACAATAAAAATTCTTTATTATGTAATAAATCATACTGAATTAATATATGCTGCACACTACTATTCTATTACAACTGATAGCACAAATTTATCCATAAATTAATAATTATTCTTGTATATCTGAAAGCCAAGGGTGCTGTCGAGCTTCTTGAGCTGTTAAGCGAAACTTCAAATTGGTGGTGGTGGCCTTCTCAAACTCACGTGCTTCTTCAGATAATGAAAAGAAAATTTTGCTCAATAACCTTCCTACCATATAAACATCTGCCTTTGTTGTGTATACCCCGGTTTCATTTGTCTCAGGTGCCCATCCTTCTAATGGTTTAAACTGCACCCTTTCACCGCTATATACGAAAATACAAGGAATATTCAAAGTCTTATACATGCTGTTAAAGGCCCGTCGGTAATTAATGATACATACAACTTGAACTTAAAGTTGTCATTCGTAATATATTGGACGCGCTTGTGGGTTTACATGAATTAGGTTACGTTCACCGAGATATTCGGTGGCCTAATATTCTGCGATTGAATGATTATAGTTGGATATTGATTGATTTGGAATGTGCTGGTGTTAGCGGTGAAAGGGTGCACTTTAAACCATTAGAAGGATGGGCATCTGAGACAAATGAAACTGGGGTATACACAACAAAGTCAGATGTTTATATGGTAGGAAGGTTATTGAGCAAACTTTTCTTTTCATTATCTGAAGAAGCACGTGAGTTTGAGAAGGCCACCACCACCAATTTGAAGTTTTGCTTAACAGCTCAAGAAGCTCGTCAGCACCCTTGGCTTTCAGATATACAAGAATAATTATTAATGGATAAATTTGTGCAATCGGTTGTAATTGCATGGTAAGGTTAGTCTAATGTGCAGCGTATATTAATTTAGTACAATTTATTATATAATAAAGAACTTTTATTGTTTTATGCACTAAAATAAATATTTCATAACCATATAACTTATTTTACATATAGTGTGATA